TTCTTTAAGGCTACATAATATTCCATGGTATACATATACCACAATTTATTGATCCATTCATGGGTTGATGGGCACTTGGGCTTCTTGACTTAGCAAATTATGAATTGGGCTGCAGTAAACATTCTGGTACATATATCTTTGTTACAATGTGATTTTTGGTCTTCTGGATATATACCTAGTAGAGGAATTACAGGTTTGAATGGCAGGTCTGTTTTTTATATACTTATATACATTTTTAAGAATTACATTATCTATTATGAAACATTTTACTGCATTCTGTCCTTTCAGGTCTGTTAGAATTTCTGTGGCTGCTGGAATATTAATATTAGCTATTATCTAGCTAATATCCATGGTATTAAATATATTTCTATTTTATTTTAGAGTGCATTACCAGGAAAGGTCCTAGTCTTCTTTGAAACCTGGTTTTTTCTTGTCCCTGATAAACCCATTATTGACAGGCCTGCATCTTGAAGACTTCTGTGTTTACCAGACAGTCAGTGGAGATGGGCATCACAAGTAAAATGGCATGTGTGGAGGCCCAGAGGAATTAAAAAGTCTTGCATCTTTGAAGAATAGCTATCCTAAGCATGAGTTGTTTTGGAGGAGTGGCAGGACATATAAGATGTATGGAGTGGGCAGGTGTGACATCTCAAGCTATTCAGTATGCTGTGTTACGGAGCTATTATATTTATACTGTAGGAATTTAATAAGGCTTTTTTTTTTTTAAAAAAAGAGATGGGATCTTACTGTTTTCCATAGGCTGAAGTGCAGTGGTGTGATCACAGATCACTGCAACCTCAAACTTCTAAGCTCCAGTGATCCTCCCACCTCAGCCGCCCAAATAGTTAACACTACAGGCATGTACCAGTATTTTAAAATTTTTTTGTAGAGATGGCGTTTTCCTATGTTGCCTAGGCTGGTCTTGAACTCCTGGCCTCCAGCTATCCTTCCATCTTGGCATCCAAAAGTGTTGGGATAGATATTAGCCACTGTGCCCGTTGTTAACAAGAATTTTAATAGGGAAATGACTTGATTAGAATTAAAATATTCAAAAAGCCTTTGTAGCCACATAAAGAATAAATTGAGGCAGGGAAAGCAGTAGTAACGATTGCAGGACCTAAGACCATGAGAACCGGTGGTTCTCAACCTTCCTAATGCTGAAACCCTTTCATACAGTTCCTCATGTTGTGGTGACCCCAACCATAAAATTATTTTCGTTGCTACTTTTTTGTTGTAATTTTGCTACTGTTATGAATTGTAATGTGAATATCTGAAATGCAGGATGGCCTTAGGCAACCCCTGGGAAAAAGTCATTTGGTCCCCAAAGGGGTCGTGACCCACAGGTCGAGAACTGCTGGTCTAGATGGACCTGGGAGTTATTTGGCAGGTCAAATAATCAGAAATTAGTGATCAACTGATTATGGGCAGGAAGTTAAATAAAAGAATCCAGGATGACTCTTAGGCTTCTGGATTGTGCAAACACGTGGGTGATGTTTCCATCAGTGAAACAGTGCATGTAGAAGGAGCAGTCTGGGTTGGTAGCATGTGGATGTTACTAAGGTAGATGGTAAGTTCTGTTTAGGGCAGTGTGGGCCTGCAGTCCTTTGCCTTTTTGGTGGAGACTTCTATACATGCACAAATGAACGTAAACATCTTCATAGTTAAGGACCCAGATTTGGGTTCAAATCTGCTACTTACTATCTGTGTGACTTTGGGAAGGTGACTTAATATTTCTAAGTCTCAGTTTTTAGAGTTGTAAAGAGGAGATATAACTCATAGTTTTGTTCTGTGAATAAATGGTCTAATTGACAAAAGTCTAATATAATGCCTAATACACAAAAAAACTTGACAAATACAGTTTTTATTATAGATATGGCGGTTGCCAGTAACTTGTGTGGAACCATGGAATGGATTAGATTCATTAGAAAGATGAGAATGAGAAGATAGGGGTCCAAATATGGACTACTAGGGACTGTCAACAGTTGAACATCAGAAATTTAGTTGCCTGGACCTTCCCACTCTGTCCTCTACCCCCAATTAGGTCGGTTACTTTAGGTATTACTGGAGGAAGTACAGGTTTATCTGTTTCACAGCCAGTTGTAAATAGTGTTATTTCCATTGCCCAAGCTTATTTATTCACATTAATTAATTAATTAAAAAAATTTTTTTTAAACTTTATTTTATTTTTTTGCCATTTTTGGCCAGGGCTGGGTTTAAACCTGCCATCTCCGGCATATGGGGCTGGTGTCCTACTCCTTTGAGCCACAGGTGCTGCCCTAATTAATTTATTTAACACACATTTACTGAGATGTTGGTAGGCATTATTAGAAGTGCTGAAAAAAAAACTCAGAGAACAGACAGACACCTGGGTCACAGGCCTCATGGTGGATATTCATCAAAAAGGTAAAACTATCATCTAGAGATAAGTACTTCAGAAAGGATGAAAATAGGATAAAATGTTGGAGAATTCCTATGAGATTACTGTAGATTGGATGATAGGGAAGGCCTCTATGAGGAGGATATAGTTAAGATCACATAATCAGTAGTAGCCAGCCGCGTGAAGATTGGACAGAAGGACTTTCTAGGTAGTGCAGAGGAATAAGCTGTGGGTGTATCTGGAGAACACTGAGAAAGGCAATGGGCTCAGAATAGGGCAGTGGGAAAATTGATGAACTGAGACCAGGGAGTATGTAGTGACCAAAGCCACACAGGGCCCTCCAAGCCAGGATAAGGAGTCTGGATTTATCCTAGGCAACTTGAAAAGCCCCTAGAAAGTTTTAGGTAGATCATTTTAAAAAGATGATTGTGATCACAAGAGCCAAAAATGAGGTACGGAAGCCAGAAACAGGAGGCTAAAGATGAGAGATCCTTTTATTATTAGATGAGAGTGGCATCTTGAAGTTCTTAGTTGTTTGGAAGTCTCAAAACTGTCATTGAAGTGATCACCATCAGGAAAGTTGTCTTGATAAACCCAGGGGTGCAAGAATGGGATTAATTGAACTTATGTTCAATTACTTTCTGCTGGGGAGAGTTCATAGCTGCTCTCTAGGTTGTCAAAGAGATCTCTGAACTCCAAAAGGGTAACCATTGTTAACGTGTTGAGTCCTATGGGAGGTGTTGCCCTACTGAGGGCAACATAGTGAGATTCTGTCTCAAAAAACAAACAAACAAAAAAACCAAACATCTTTTCCCTTCAGTTTCCTCTCTCTACATTTAACTTACAAATCTGGAAATTCAAGTTTTGCTTACAGCCATTGTTCATAAAAGCCACAAGATGGCAGTATTTCTCCTTAAAATGAAAGTGAGTGACTAAGTTGAAGATGGAGGGGGAGCAGAATATGAATGTGTACTGGGCAATCCTCTCTGATTTTCCATAATTTCCTTAATTTTCCTTATCCTTTACTTGAATACAAAGTAGAACTGACATGCTTACATCTTTCCTCTTTAATTTAGATTTTGATCATAGTTGTTTTTGGAATTGTAAAGTTAAAATAAAATTAAAAAGAATTAGCTGGATCCCATGCTTACTGTTTTTCAGCTTTTCAATAAATTATTAATAAGTAATTTCCTTTTGCACATTTAATCCTTCCCTTTTGCACAGAGTAATCTTAGCAACATAGGGTTGTGATGTTTGTTCCCTGTGTGTATGTGATTTTTAAAAATGCTACTGGCAAGATCTACCAGGTATGTTCCCATTTAAAAACTTTATTTATCATCATAAATATTTGTTGATAGTACTGATAATCAGTGTCCAAATATTTAAGGCAAGTATAAGGAGTGAAAAGGTGGAATAATTTTCGACATATATATGTATAAAATTTTTATTGTCAGGGCTCGGCGCATATGGCTCAACCGGCTAAGGCGCCAGCCACGTACACCTGAGGTGGCGAGTTCGAATCCCCAGCCCGGACCCGCCAAAACAACAATGACG